GTTAGGATTTTCCTTCCCACTCCTCAAATGCTCCTGCTCCTCTGTCCTGTCCTACCTTTGCTTGGGTTCTATCATGTCTGTGCTTATGTTCTTTCGTATGCCTACAAAACCTTCCATTTAGTGAAGCCTCAGCTGAAGATCCACCTCTTTCATGAAGCTTCTACTAACACGTTAGCCTCAGCTCTCTACTTCTCCCAACACTCACAGCACTTCTGGTAGATACAACATAATTTCATAATTCTTTCCTGTCATCCCAAATATGTTTCCTCCCCTCTCCCAAAATTTCCACTGACCTTGTTCCCCTAACAAGCTTCCATTCCCATCTCTCTTTTCTTATCAAACTTATAGAAGTAGCACATTCTGGTTTCAGAATGAACTCTTCCTCCCACAGAGCTATTCCCCACATCAACCAACCAAAGAACTTCCTTGAAAATCAGTAACTTAGGGGCCAGCCTGTGGCTCCCTCAGGAGAGGGGGGTGCTGATAACACCAAGGCCACAGGTTTGGATCCCATATAGGGATGGCTGGTTGCTCACTGGGTGAGCGTGGTGCTGACAACACCAACTCAAGGGTTAAGATCCCCTTACCAGTCATCTTTTAAAGAAAAAAAAAAAGTTAAAAGAAAAGTCTGGCTGGTTAGCTCAGTTGGTTAGAATGTGGTGTTATAACACCAAGGTTGAGGGTTCTGATCCCCATACTGGCCAGCCACCAAAAATAAATGAATAAATAAATTGGGTTATTTCTCTTATTATTGAGATGAAAGATTCTGGATACAAGTCCCTTATCAGATATATGATTTGCAAATATTTTAACTGAAGAAGATACAGAGCACATGAAAAGTGCTTGTCATTATTAGACATTAGGTAAATGCAAATCAAAACCATTTAAGATACCACTTCACATCCATTAGGAAAGCAGTAATAAAAAAGACAGAGGAATAGCCAGTTAGCTCACTTGGGAGAGCATGGTGCTAGTAATACCAAGGTCAAGGGTTTGGATCCCTTTACTGGCCAGCTGACAAAAAAAAAAAAAAGATCAAAAAGACAGTAAAAATTTTGGTGAGGCTGTGGACATGTTGGAACCCTCATACATTGGTGGTGGGAGTAAATTGTTGCACTCTTTTTGGAAAATAGTTTGGCAGTTACTCAAAATGCTAAATATAGCATGTTAATCATATGGGT